GCTGACTAGCTGCCTCTATTGCTGTTTGATAAATCTTGTCAAAATTAGGTTCGTCGTCCCAATAAGCAGTATCAAGAAAAAACTCTGCTTTTGCCAAAACTTGAAAAACTCTGTCCGCTACCTCGTTGTTTGTACAACCATCCATCAAACTTTTTACAATGCTTCTTTCATTGTCGAAGAACTCGATCAATGCTTTCATGGAGAATCCTGTGAGGAACATCTCATTCAGTTTCTCAGCCAAGTCAATGTAGAATAATAAAAAGCGAGTGTTCGCAATCAAAATTGTTTCTCCCATCTCACGTTCACCCTTGTCTTTTGCAAAGGATTGTAAAAGTTTGTGAATGGAGAATTTGTCCGAGTTTGAACATCTATCTATGAGAGCCCTCCCTTGTAGTCTTCTCAAAACTTCCTTACTTTCGGTGGATCTCTCTAGTCCTAAAACGGCTGTAGCAATCTCAAGATCAAATGTTTCTGGAAGAACACTCAAAGACACCAGTGCTTCTTGGTCCCGCGAAGACAGTCTCAGGAAAGACGATTCAAACAGGGTTTTAAGCCTTGCATCACTGGTATATTCTGGGTTGTCCAGCAACTCAAGAAGGCTACTTTTAGACAGCATTAATTCATCAAGAGCTGCAGTACATTGGGCAAAATCGTCAGAGAGCAACTTACATAGCAACCATATGGCTAGGGGAACCTGCCCGCACATGTGTACGATTTTTATTGCGTCAGAGGAGCTCGCATGTGGAAGTAACTTTTTCACTAAAGCACTTGAGGACAACTCGTCGAGTTCTCCTATTCTGGTGGACTTGTGTCCCTGTAGAGACATATCCAAATAGGCCATTGGCTCCCGTGTGGTTAATAGAAATTTGACCTTTTCACTGCGATTGAGAAGGTCTTTTATTAAATTAACAGTCTTCTCTTTCACATCTGGCTCGCCACATTCAAACAAGTCATCTGCATTATCAAGAATCAACAAACATGGATCCGATAGTCTTTCAAAGATGAAACCAATTTCATCGGCAGCTGTCAAACTCTGATTTTTCGATTCAGCAGTTCGAAAGTGGCTGAGTAACTTTGACGTTAAATCACCTTTTGAATAAAGCCCACGTAATGAGATAGAGCAGACAGGTAGACCGACCTTTTGAAGCTGGTGACCAACAGCGATTGCAGTAGACGTCTTTCCAAACCCTGGTGACCCCCAAACTGATACGATTTGCGTCGAATCAGAGGTCAAGTGGCCAATAATCTCTTCACATTCTTTTTCACGGCCAGTAAAGTGAGGAGGAAGATTCAATCGTGAAAAACGTGGTTTAAATCCTAGAAAGAAGTTGGTTTTAGACAATGAAAATATAATTAAAGAACAGGCTTTTACAGGATCAATCAGTATGCCCTCAAAATCCTTTGTGGCACAAGGGAAGTGAACTGAACAAATAAAGAAGACTCGACCGACTGTGTGATAGCTTGAAAGAGGTGTATAGGGAAACACTACTTTTAGTTGATTAGTTCTTATCCCTCCTTCGTGGCTGCAATCATAACGGTTTAATCAATCTTGGACTAAACATAGCAGAGTCGTTTTTTGAGTAGCTTCCCATGTAGCCACTTCCTCGTACTAAACTTGTTTTTTAAAGAGAGGGCATTGCGTGTCGATTACATACAAGACTATTCAGCGACTGTGAAGGACACAAAATCGTGAGTACACGAAAAGAAAGGTTCTTAGCATCACCAGGTCGCTCGTTGAAGCCCGGTAAAAGCGCGGTTCAAGTTTTAGTCAAATCAGAATCACAAAAATATTGCGTTTTAATTTGCGATTTACCTAGACTTTGGGGCTCCCTCAGAAGGTCTTTCATCTCTTGGCTAAACTCGTTAATCTTTTTAACCATCCTCTCTTCACTAGCAGCGATTTCCTCTTTCAGGCTCTCGGTATCGTCTTTGTGTGATTCCTGTAGAAGGTGAAGCTCATCTTTAACACCTTCTCTGACAAGTCTGCTTTCAGTTTGGAACTCGGCAAACTTAGTTTCAATCGTGCCTTGGGTAGTGGCATTTGCAGATTCGATTGTCTTCTTTAGCTCTTCAGTACCTTCCTTTTGAGATTTCTGTAAGAGCTGCAAGTCATCAATAACTTCTTCTTCGAGGAATTCGTTTCTTTTTTGAAGCTCTTTTCTGACGTCATTTTCTAACTTGCGAACTTTCTCGGTGGGAAAGTCAGACCCAGTCAAACTTCCAACAGCATCAATAGGGTCAGTATTAATTCCAAGGGCTTTAATCGCGTCTTTAGCGAGTTGAACGTGTCGATCGTATTTTGTTTTGTCCAATTCGGATTTATTTAAATGACATAGCGAATTTCTCAATAAACGAAGCTGATCGATCGCCAGTGCAAAGGTTTCTGCGTCATCTCCCGTCGGACTAACTACAGATGAATGGAAAGTACCACGTGGTAATTTACAGGACCTTAAATATAAATCATGGAGTATCACGTGGTGGCCTTTGCTACCTGGCAAAGCAAAGGACCGCGCATAGATAGTGGCCTGGAACAGGGCTGTGCAATCCCATTCATCATAGGAGAGATGAGTGGGGACTTTGGATGATCCACCTTCAGTACTTAAGAACAAGTTACGCACAGCAATAGAGTCATCCCAGGACTGAAAACCAGGACGTGACGCAAAGGTGTTGTTCCACATCTGTTTAAAAGTTTGCCGTAATGCTTTAGGAAATTCATTTAGCACGATGAACGCAAACTTGAAATAATTCAATTGTTCATTGGTAAATGGTTGTAAGGCCATTCTACTCAACGACCGGGTGTCGCGGAATCTTGCTCAATTGGTTTAGTCAGGTCTTTGTCTGTAAAACCTGAGAAATAACAAAAAAAAAAAAGAAACAACAACAACAAAGATGAAAGTTATTTCCACGGATGGGTTCTCTGAACTAAAGTGCCTTTCGATTTATGAAAGAAGGGTCATTTTTAATCTGTGCCTTTCGTTGATAATAACCGTCTGTTCTGGATGGAAGCAGATATGTAACGCATTTAAGAAAATGAACGACACTTTAAATTAAAAAAACATGTTTCGACAGTTCTTCTGTCATCTTCAGTTCTGAATGATACAAAGTACAAAGCACACACACACA